GCGCTGCATTGAAAGTAAAACTTTTTTTGTTCGTGTGCTTTGCCTATTTTCGCTTTCGTTTTCCTTTTGTTTGCTTATTATTTATATTGTGTGCCCTTTCCGGCGTTTAATAGGCGCATCGGCTGTTGTGTTAATAAAAATTCTGAGTGCGCATGCGCAAATGATTTTTGCCCATTTAACGATTGCAATTGAAATTGTTGCTCAGACCTTAGTCGCCTTTGCTATTGTGGTTGTTTTTCCACAAATTTGCTTCTTCTATGCGAGGGTAATGTACACACACTTGTATATAATATATATAGTATGTGTTGTAATATGTATAAAAATTCATATTTATTTATGTATGACTTTTTATATGGTAGTATACCATATGTTCCACCAGGGGTCAATGGCAGCTGATATAAAATAATTTCGATCGTATTATGGGAAATTTTGGGCAAATTTACATACATGTGTTGCGGGATATTTGTATTTAACTTTTATTATTCATATGTGTTTCATGTATGTTTTTATATACATACATTAAATTCATGTTAAAGAATTTGATTAAAAAAAAAATATTGAAATACATATGTAAGTTATTCCACTACCAAATTCCATACATGTGTACCAAGGGTGTACAATTTCCAAAGTTTTTGGTAACTTGATACTTTATTTCTTAAAATCTATTTCAAGCTTTGCCCAACCATTTTTTTTAATTTTAAATTGATTTTTTTGTAAATTTCTTCAACGATGTAGTATTACAGTTTGGCGACTGAAATTGTAATAATTCGAACGTATTACGGGGAGTTCCCGAGCTGAACGTCATACTTAAGATATGCGCCCTCCTTTCTATGGCTAAAGCGACAATTTAGGCTGAAGTCTTAGAGGATCTAAGCGAAAATAGGCTTAAACAACAATTTTTTACTCTCGAAAGCTTATGACCAAATAACAGTTAAGAACAGACATTCTTCCGTTGAGTCCAATTTTCGATAACTTTTTTGAGCATTTCGATTCGTAACTGACGAATCACACGCGTGATGTTCTGCTCCACAGCATGAATCGCAGCGGTATTGACCGCATAGACTTTAGACTTAATTCCCACAGAGAAAACTTGTAGGTCTGATACACGATATTGGCGGTTAATCGACCGTCCCAAAACGTGAAATTATTTGCTTACTGAAGTTTTCTCTCAATAAATCCATTGTTTGATGCGATGTGTAGGAAGTAGTTCCGTCTTGTTGAAACTAAATGTTGCCGAAATTACGAGCTTCAATTCCAGGGATCAAATAGTCGGTTATCATGGCGCTATAATAGTCGTTATTGACGGTTACTTCTCATCGGCATAATTTTTAAAGAAATATGTACCTATGATAACACCGGTCTAAAAATCACAACAAACCGTTGTTTTTTCCTAAAGAAATTACAGCTCTTGGATCTCATCAGGTTGATCTTCGTCAAAAAAGCGACAATTTTGTTTATTTACATACACATTCAGCCAGAAATAACTATCATTTTGGCTCGAAAACGTTGGATCTTCTTGGAACCTTTTACGAGCCCATAGATCTATGCGCTAAGTCATTCCATACGTTAACTCTCTACAATCGTCAGCTACCGCTTCTATATTTTCTTCACTGAGTGCTGGACATGATCTCTTCGGTCGAATATTATCCAATAATGAATGCTGGGCCTCAAGATGGGCGATGCTGTTGTGGATAGTACGCTCGGTAGACCGATTATGTTGACCATAAGTTGAGTGAAATGCGGGAAACACTTTCTTTAAAGAACGTGAATATTCGTAATAAAGTTGAGCGATTTGTAAACGTTGTTCAGGCCTAAGTATGTCAAGAAGAAATGGCAAACAATATCGAACGAAAATAACATAACAGCTTGACACGAGTCACGCGTGATCTGTCAAAAAAAAAGACTGTTGAAAAAAGTACCTCTATTTGGATCAATTTTAGAGGATATAACTAAAATTTCAGGTGAAATTAGAATTTTTTAAAGGAAGGTATTTTGTAAGCTTTTATTTTTATTTCGACAGTAAGTCAATATTTGGAATCTATTTTCTAGTTGAGAAGTTTTTATTGGTTGCATCCAAAGGGAAAGTTGGAATCACTACAGCCTTTGAGTGACAGGAACAGATTTCTTCTAATTTTCAAGAACCAACTCATTTAAATGCATTTAAGATAGTCCAGCCTTTTTGTCTCTTTAACGTGTGTTCTATTGACACTCGCTTGTAGGAGAATTGGCGCTGTTGCAATACTAACTTGTCAATCGCCGTTGTATGCACATAAAACAAATTTGATTCGTAGCCGTGGGGAGCTCGGTTGTCGTTATAGTAAAAGAAACATATAAAAACACACAAGACTCTACTCAATGAAACCCACTCATGCCGGAAATTGTACATAGAACGTGTTTAATTCACAAATGGTGGCGACACTGACGCTTGCCTATACTTCTACGCAAAGTGTGTGAACTTGTGTATTTACATACATACATACATAAATACGTACATGTATACGTATGTGCTTTGACTTAGCACTGTTCGATTTCGATTGTACGAGCGCGACTTGCTGTCTGTCCGGTTTTTGACTGCGTACGACAGAAACTGTTCGGCGTTTACGTGCGTATTTCTTAAAAAAAGCACAAAATAGACGTAAAGAAACTTAGATCAGTGATCCAATAGAAGATAGGAGGCGCAGTGCATAGTGTGACCAACATTTTCATTCATAAATTTTGTACGCATAAGGAGGAACACTTCTGCTGGGTATTAGAGATTGATGCTTTTTTTGCTCTCCAAGGAGCGCTTATTTATTACTTACTTATCTACCCTAAAAATGTACATAGATTGTATGTGTGTACACACGCACCTTAAACTGTATATTGTCTTAAAATTCTGCACACACAAAACTTTACCTATCAACACGTAGGTTCGCCTGAATTATAAAGCAAGCTTGGGAGGACGCGCGCACTTTACTTTCAGACAGTGTTTGGGTGGCTTAAACTGACTGGCCCGTTGTGGTCACTGGTCTCTCTATGTACTTCATACATATGTGTAAGGTTTGTATGTATATCAATTAGTATGCATGTTGGTTTCTAATGTCAATTCATTATTGAATTAACCGTATATGGTGGCTCGGCGATTTCGGAACTGGCTCTAACAAGTTCCTCAAGACCCACGCGCCACTCTTGGCAAGGCGATGACGCATGCGATATTTAGCGGATTTTTAATTTAATTTCTTTTGTAATTTGTAGTTAAACATTCAAGTGGCTACAATAAGAAGAGAAAAATACTTTGGTTCAAAATATTTTTATGTTTTGTCTTATATTTCTTTGGTTAATTTAATTTGCCATTTTCGCTTTTGAACATTGAATACAGCAGCTTAATGGTTTTAAATATTTTGAAGCATGGCTACAAATTGAATTTAAGTTATGTAAGTTAAAAATGCTTATGAGAATATATTTTGAGAAGGGTTGCCACCTTATAGAACTATACTACAAATAAAAAAAAATTTCGATATTTCGTCTTACCCTCGTTCACTGCCAGACCCATTTGTTCGCATCCTTATCTAGTCTGGGGAAAGCAGAAATAACGGCGCGGTTGATGAGGCCAATGATATCAATATTATCGGCGTACGCCAGCTGCTGTCAAAAGAAGATTTAAAATCGATGAACAGGTGCGCCATGTCGGTTCTCTTCATGGGTCTTTTCCATGATTTGGTGAATATCTGGTCTGTTGTTGATTTTTCAAAACTAAAGTCACACTGATAATATACAATTAGTTTGCCGACGGTGGGCTTTAATATTTCACATAATACGCTCGATAGAACTTTATATGCGGTGTTAAGAACGCTTGTCCCACGGTAGTTGGGGCAGATTGTGGGGTCTCCTTTTGGGTGGGACGGGCGGAGCACACTTAAATTCCAGTCATTGGGTATGCTTTCGTATTTCATATTTTACATAGAAGCTGATGTATGTTTCTTATGAATTTTTCCCCAGCGTATTTGAACACCTCGGCCGGAAATCCTTCGGGTAGGGCAATAGAACGTCCGCTCCATTGTTATCGATTGTTCCTGATGTTATGTTTTCACTGCCACTCAGCAGGCTGGAGAGGTGTTTCATTCATAATTTTAGTATGCTCTGAGAGTGCTACAAGAGTATGTTCCGGTCTTGAAACCTTCTGTTAGTCGCCGTATCTTTCCGGAAAATTTTCGAGCATTATTCCTTTCGGTCAGCTTGGTAAGCGCTTCGTACCTGCTATACCTGCTTCCCTCCTTAACTTTGCAGTCTGTTTTCTCTTTACTGCGACACGGTGCTCCTCATCGTACCAGCTGTTCTTTTGCCTTTTCCGAACACCATCTGAACAAATTCTCTATATAAGCTTTAAGTGGAATTTTGCGCATGGCAACTCTACCGATATTCTCCTTCTCGGGAAAACCCTCTATCTTTTCGATTTACAGCAGCTTAAATGTGAAAATATTTAAGAATATTGCCTTTCGTTATTGTTTCAATTTGCCTAACTTGTTGTGAAAAGCTCTCTTGTAAAGCAAAGTGGGCGGAATACAGTTAGTATTATATCTTTGTCTTCTCAAGTTCCCATATTTATATAAATTTGATAAAAACTTCTTATTTATTTGCACTTGTATTGTCTTTAAAATGCATATACATATTTACATGTACTTAGCAATTATTTATTTTTCTAAGCCATTACTTAAACAAATAAAACGCCATTGTTAACTTGAGCTACACATGTACTTTGTGTTAATTTTATGCAAATTATATGCGATGTCGAGTTTTATCTCTATTTACAGTCCTACTCAACTACAGGCGTCACATTTTCCATGTATAACATGCACATTGTATATACATACATATGTATATATGTGCGTTTGTATATAAACTAATGCATATTTATTATTGGTGTTAAGCGAACTTATCATAATGACTTATTATAAATACAATTTTATGAGAATAAATGATTGCAATAAATAATTATTTCTCTTTTGGTTATTTTCTTTCAGAACGATAACGGAGACACGTCTCATTGGGCTCTTACAGTCGCTTTGTAAGTACAGCAAATGTGCTCTAAAATGTATTTAAAGAATGAGGGCGTAAATGTGTACTTATATATATACATACCATATACATATACTTAAGAATGTATGTTTATAAAAGTATATACATAAATGTTTGCATTACATAAAGTGTATACATATATGTATATGTAAATGTCAAATGGCAATTTGAATTGCATTGAAAATTATGAACTTGGAATTGCTTGAAATTACTTGAAATGCACAATCTGATGCCCCTTGCCCTCGCTCACACTCAAATGCGTGTGGACGCTGGGATAATTATTGACTTTGTAGCATTAGAGCTCCGCAAAAGAGTCTGTGCTGCATTCATTAATGCTCTGGGAACTTCTACTCAATTATGAGTTAGTTTTACACTGAATTGTTTGCTGTGAAGTGTTAATATTTCCATAATCTAAATATAATGGACTTATTATTAATTCTCATATTATAAATTCTCAAGCTAAGAAGTATACAATTGACGCACTTTCATTTCATTATTGAGTTGAGATATTTTTGAGAAATCATTTTGAAGAGTTTCTTTCTCAAATAAGAGTTAAAAAAATTCCTTAAGAAACTACTCAAAGATTGATCCTGTTGTATTCTTATTTTTAACTCTTAGCCGAATTGACTAACAAAGCACGCCCAGGGTTGATGATCTTTTCAGAACTATGATTAATCTTAACTTCGGCATAATGTATAAAAAGTTGATAAAAAAAGTCTTTGCGCATTTCTAAATAAACTTCAACTTATTTATTTTTATAAATATGATGAACTTTAATGAATTAAATATATCCCATTTTGGTGGATCACTTTTTGCCATATTTCCGCTAGAGGCATTATTCCATAAGTGTACAATTTTTCTGGTTTCTCGACAAAAAACTGCGAAAGTAATTTTCACAGGCTTTTCTTGAAGCCAACCTCATTCCATTAAGGGAGTTCTGCATTGATCGAAACAAATTGTAGTCCGATGGTGTAAGGTCACGACAGGTTTTGCAGTCGTTGATAGTAAAGTTTAGAATCAATCGTTCGAGCAGACTGATCCACTTTTCTCTTGCCATTCGCTTCAGAAATGGTTCGATTTCATTTCTCTTCAGCAAAGAATTGCAGAGTTTAATTCGGTCCATCAAATTTTTCTCAGAAATCATGTGGTACCCAAACATCGAGCTTCTTTTTGTAGCAAGACTTTTTTAAATGATTCAAAACCGTTTGATGATGAATGCTAATTTCTTAGCGATGTTATGTTATCGACTAGATAACGATAGGTCGACCAGAGCGAGGAGCATCTTGCACACCGAAATTTCCAGAACGGAAGCGAGCGAACCATTGTTGTGCTGCACGAACTGATACAGCCTTTTCTCCGTAAGCTTAAAATCTCATCTTTCCAACACAATATGATATAAGACCATGTGATATTGACAAATTACGAAAAGCCTTTTTCGACTACCCATTACCATCAAAGGCTCTCGAAGATAAGCTGCCATTTATCTTTGCTAATTATTTTGAAGCCTCGGTGTCGTTTCCTGCTTATTGAACTCCTCCCACTTTTATAAGAAATATATTATTTTCTGATTGATTTTCCTTGTATGGAGCCGAAGCCCTTAGCATAAGTTCGGTTAGGTTTGATGGCCGATCCAAAAATCGCACTTGTACTACTCTACGCAGTCCTTTGTAATGCCATAAAAATAGAACTCCTGTAATTCGAACTTATAAGTTAGCAGAGCGGCTTGTGGTTAATAAAAAATTGCTCAAGCGTTTAATTTCTATTCCCACCGAGTTTATGCCTCTCTACCCACCAGCTCGGTGGGATATCTAAAAGTGTGATTTCGCAATGGCTGGACATTCAAGATGAATGTGCTAAACCCACCTTTAGCTTAAACACCTTCTAATATCAGATATAGTCTTAAAATATGATTTCTTCGTAACCTAAATCAGCGACACTCCTTCTAATGCAACGTTCACCTTCTACAAAATCCAGCCAAGTAATCACCAGAGTCGCAATCAATGTACATTCAACTCAAGCATACATATTTACGCTTATAAAACATGAGTCCGCCCGAAGAAAAGGGAAAAGCCGGAAATTCCTGAGGCAACAGGCTAACTAACTGTCACATGCTCAAGTCAAATATGTGTCAGTACGAGCACCTGTAAATCCATAAATCTCTACATCTGTAATGAAGACAGTAAACCAATTAAGCTCATGGACGGACACACATATGTGCACTTACAGACAAGCTTACGTATATGTGCCTTCCATGCCGACTACATGGCTTCACAGTTGAGGAGCCACACATAGGTGTCATCTAAATAATCTGAAACTTCAAGTCCAAGTATGGAGATGTAAGATATCGCATAACTCGCACCCCACCAGACCGCCGCGCCCTCCAAATGCTCCAGACCGTGGCGATGGCGTTGCAAAGAGTGCCCGAGGCGGCATGTGCGGCTTGGCAGGTACGCTATTTAATTGCAAATATGGCATTGGAGTGGCACTGGATGCCGCATCAAGTCGTCCAGTCAGCGCTGCTGTATCGTCATCTAGCGACGCTGTTGTTGTCGTCGTCGGTGGCTCTGCTGCCACATGTAAGTGTATATCGACATACAAGCATACACTTGTTTGCGGCGTGTGGCAAGTGGCCGTGTGTGGCGCGTCTATGCGTCTGTTATGCGATACTTTGGCCGCCGTCGATGATTGTGTGCCATTGTGTCACGCCTCCATGATGGGACGCGCAATTACGGATGCGCACAGCACATACATACATAYATTTATATATGTAGCTTGTTGATACTGAGCCGCGCCGTTTTGAGGCTTTTGACGCCTGCATCTTTGTCCTCCTCATCAACGTTTGGCGCTTTCGAGTTTTCAGTTTACTCGCCAGCTCACTTGCTCTTGACAACACCATTGTGGGTTCGGCTGTGTCACCGCAATTGCATAGCTGCAACTTGTATTAGTGTGGCTCGAGTCTTTGTCTCGACTTTGTCACCTATAAAAAGCTGTCGAAGCCGAGCATTGTACACATGGAAGATGTCACGCTTTGTGAGGCAGCGTGTCGAAAATGGTACTTGAGAATAAGGTCGTTTCCTTGCTCTGTTGTTCTGATTCTTACAGTTGTCAACTGGACTAGTGTTTCGCTCATTGTTGTTGTTACGGTTGTCTGAATTTGCTGTTTTTTTATTCTGTTTGTTTTTGTTTTTGTGCTGCAGCTCGTGCGTTTGTGCAGTTGTGTTCGTTTAATCGTGCGCTGTCTACTTCATCTATGGATGTTCTGCTATTCGTATTTCTTGTATCCATTTCGGTTTCAAGCAGTCGGTCGGCGTCTAAGCAACCGTGCCTAGCAGAGTACAATAGCAACAAATATGGACAAGTGTAATGTTACCTTGTTAGATAAACACAGTGTTGCATTTGAACATGTAGGCATATTTATAACTGTATACATATGTGCTTGTAGGTGCTTGTATACATAAGTGAAAATGTTGCCAATTAATCATATTGTGTATTATTATTGTTGTTGTTTTAATACACTTATGTGGTGTTCTAAATTGTGTCTTATTAGTGTATTTAATTATAGCCTGTTTTATTGCTCATGAATAGTGCTACTAGGGTGGTCAAACGATAATGCAGTTCAATAGAGATTCAAAAATAAGGATTTCTATGAATTTTCCAGAAAGTTTAATTCAGAGCGTCTACTCTCGTCCTAATTGCAATAATAATTATAAAACGAAGAAATAAAAAATTTACAATATTTCTTTTTTTGAAAAATCGAAATTTATCTTTAGGAATGAAAAGGGTTTTGTTTCAGAAAAAAACTTTCATGCAACTCAAAATATGTAACTGTATGATTTATTTACCATTTAAACCGCCGTTTTTAAAAATAGTTGAATTAAGAAAGGTGGGACCAAAGCTCTTTTTAATTTTCATATGAAGATAAAAACTAGACAAATGAGATTCCTGGTAATAAACCTTACCTTATTTTAAAATAAACGGTATTAAAGGGGTTACAAGAGTTTAGGGGTTTCAAAAAATCAAATTTTCATCCTTAAATTCTACAATACCTCTAGAACGTTGTCTTGTTCAATAAACTTGTTTTCTTGAAACTGTGTTTTTGAAGTTGGTTGCAATATTTCTGGATAACTACTCAACCAATTTTAATGAAATTTTCACAGGTCGTTGAGAGATAATCGATTAAAGGTCATCGCTGAGGCCGAGGTTTCTCAATTCAGCTATGTCCGTCTATCGATCTATCTATATAAGTACGTATATGTGAACCAGTCCCTTAGTTTTTTTGATATCGATTTAAAATTTTTTCTCAACCGTCGATATAGGATAGGATAGAACTGCCTTACACATTGACCTTTAAAAATCAAGTCCTTGTCACGGTATGGCATATATTACTGTCCACAACAACGTTACAATCTCCGAAAAATTTGTCCAGATCGCAATACTATAGCATCTAGCTAACATTCAAACTGACTTCAACTTAGAATTCAAGCCAAAGACCTTATTATAGCCGTTTTGATTGTAAAAAAATGCACCTGCAAAGAGTTTTTTTTTTCATTTTTTTCTAACAAAATTAGTAAGTATGCTCGTTGAGTTATTAATGAATTTACTGCTGTAATTACTCAACTTGCTGAAACAAGGATCGTTGACTGAAATCATTGAAATACTCTAGCGATAGAGCACAAAAGATCTATAGAGCATTTATGACGATTATTGCTGGCATGTTTGCCAATAATATAGTTTATATATTTTCGGGGCTCTTTTAAGACATTAAAATATAATATCTATAAGTAGAGAGTCCAGTTTGATATGAGTTAATGCATTCGTTGTTCTATGAGTTCTGAATTATATCAATAATAATACTGATTTTTGAACGGGTTTCAGAATTTACAAATTTTCTGAATCGAATTCATTATTTGAATATATTTAACGCCCCTTAGTTTCAGCAATTACCAGTCACCCTAATTATAAATGATTATGACACACTTTTTATCTGTT